CTAATATTCACAGTTTGATCCCAAACATGGGAACATTCACATTAAATAGCAACGCACATTCGAGTCAGTAAATAAGAACGAATGAATGGCACTGTTTGACTTTCTGCATAATTAAAGTGAAATTTGACTCATTTTTCCAGTTTTCGCGTGTATCATCGAGTACATATTACATTTTATTACTTTCTTTTACTGTTTCACTTTCCAGCTGGAAGCGGGGACATCTGAGAAAGTTTGTCTAATGTCCCGAGACGAACAATCCGTGTTGGTTGTTTCATATCGTGATCTGAAGCAGTGCTTCGAAGGCGCTTTTGGTGAAATAATCTCTGCTTCTCTGGCGTAAACACGCCTTTTATTTAATCGTAGATGACATAATGTTAGATTCTTTTTTAGAAAAAGTTCACCTCAAAAATAGCTCGCGTGGTACACGTGAAAGATTTGGAGTGAAAGACACGCATACGTGGAGTGTGGATGAGTTGCCCGCGAAAAAAATCTTCCATGTGCACCACTTCGGTTGTTTTAATCACAGCGACAATAGATATTTTCAGAGGTTTAGAAGGTAAAGATGGGTCGCCGTAGAACCTTACCCGCCTTTAGTGTAGCAGTTCCTTTTATGATTGAAGCTAATTTTATGCAAAATGTCTTTTTGAGTGGAGAAATCTTAGAAAAACAACTTAAACTTCATTTCCTGCGTAGATACATCAACTAATGCAGATCTGTTATCGTGCGTTTCATGTATCTTATTAACCAAGCGCGAGGGCCGTACTGGGAGAATATCGGCCCGAGGTCTTGACAGTACGGACCGAGCGCAGCGAGGTCCGTACAAAAAAGACCGAGGGCCGATATTCTTCCAGTACGGTCCCGAGCAAGCTTGGTTAATAAGAGATTTATTATACGACTGAAGTTCAAAGGGTCGCAAGTGCGGTATCATTCGGGACCATTCGGGACAGTGCCCGGTCCAATACTGAGAGAATATTGACCGGCAATAGAGCATTTTGATTGGTTGATTTTAGTTATTGGCCCTCTGACTGCCCGAGTCGTGTAATAAAAGATATTACGGATCTGTAAGTGATGTAAGTCTTACATTAAGTCTGTCGAATAGAGATCATATATGGTACCTAGCGTGGATTTACAGAGACCATTTAGTTATGCTCAATTGGGATTAATATTTGTTCTTTATGTTTGCATTATGACGATTTTAAGCCTATCTGCCTTTCACCGTGCCCCCACAACCGCTGCAACAAAATGACGCTTTTTTTTGTTGACCGGGCTGAAGTAAAAACAAGAATTCATTGGTTGATTCTTGGAAAAGTTCGTGCTTGTGCACACGTAATGAGTTAGTTTTGTGCAAACTTTTTATGCAATTTGAATACAACGACTGAGAAGTTGTCCGTTGGGTGGCTTCGAAGTCAAAATGTTAAAACTGCGGTAAAACTTTATCTAGCCGACGATTCTGTAATTCAATCGTCCATGGGATTGGCTTGAAAAATATTGAGCAGGGCCCTCATTGGATGGTTACTGGTAGGACTAATAGCTTGAAAACATTGGGAAAGTGCTAGTTTGTGTCAGGCTCTTGGACTTTGGACTGGGGAATTCATAGAAAATGCGTCGTAGGGAAAACGGAGGGGTCTGGGGAAGAGCGAGGGCATGTTCTCCTCTAGGCTTCACCCGCCTCCAGTTACCGCTATTTTTCGCTGGTTTAATTTTTCGATCGTCAATACAAACCGAGTATCTGCCGTTGAAAAAAACACGCAAATGAGAAATCTAAGAGTAGTGGAATGAAAAGCTTCGTTTACACGTTCACTTAAAACCTGCGAGCAAATGTGACGTGGAATTCAAAGTTGTCTTCTACAACCATTATTGAATCTTTCCTTCTTTCAGAGTTTGGTTACTTTTCGCTTGGATTAACTCTAAAACTTGTAGCTCTCTTCTAGCGTTGTAAAGTTAACTTGTAAATACCTCGTTCGGAAGTAAGGGGAAGTCTGAAAGCTGTAATTACCTCCTTGTTGGTATTGTTTATGCCTTTATTTGTTAAGTAAGGAAAACTATACATAATGTATAAAATTCTATCACTCATGTAGATACTGTGCAATTGTACAGCAACGTTTTGCATACTCTAAACGTATTTTTCAATATTTATAGTTAAAGGAAAATTAGCTACGGTTTTTAATGAATTATTTTCAAAATCAAATATTTAGATCCTTTTTTTAAAGGACCTTTAAAAAGGAATTCGATATTTATCATGTCGAGTTTGCACAAGAGTGACATACCTTCTATGAGAATTCTAGATACAAGTCAAAGTAAGATTTATTTGAGATATTATTATTAAAATGAAAGGTCTTCAATAAAGAATTGTTTGAACGTTACTAATGATGTTCTGTTGTTTTAGCGGAGTTTTCAGGTACAAAGACGTAATGAAATCCGAGTTTGTAATACATTGGAAAGGTTTAGCTTTTAAGATCGGATCTGAATTTCTCCTAGTTTTTAATCATTGTGCAATTACCAACGCCGGGTGTTGTTCAGATACCAAAGATACTCTCTCAACCTTTTAACCCCTAAAGTGACCAGCATCTAATTTCTCCTCACAATATCACCCCAGAATCAAACAATAAAGTCAGGAGAATACGAAAATGATCACCAACTGTCTATGCTCCTGGTTGTATAACAAATTCTCCTTGTCAGCATCTTAGTATAGCGAATAGTATGGAGAATATGTAAACTGATGTTAGGGGGTAAATTTAAGGGTTATGGTGCAATCGCACGTGAATACGTCTTCCTCTTAAAAAAAAGCTACGAGATTGCGATTACATGACTCAGTCAAAGTTCCCGATTATACGGAATACATACGACACAAAAGACATTATGGGTTACGTTTAGAGTCGTGGTGAGCTCGGTCAAAGAAAACACTTTGAATTGCACAGAGGCTACAGTTCTTGTTCCTGAAGTTTTTTGGTATTGTTAATATTGTTGGTTCTTCCCTCTTGCATTCCATTTTCTTTTAGTCACTTTCAATAATTTGGTAAAATTCTGAATCGATTTCTTGCACAGACCCCCTTCTCCACTGTCGGCAGTGACGGTGATCCTTGAAACAGGAAAACACGATCTTCATGAGGATGAATATCACAGGGGTCAGCCCAGCAGCAATGTGATACACGTCATCAGAGAGCGAAGCGCTAGCACTCGGGCAAAGCGCGGCTACTAAATATACCACGAACGTCATCAGTGGAAGTATTGCCATCTTCAACGCGAGATACGTGTGCGTACGAGATCCCACGCTAGGATTCGCGCGCGCCATCAGGTAGTTCGGGCCCTTGCATAACGCGATCACGAACACCACAGCTTGACTGATGCTGGCCATAAATATAATGATCGCCCCGACTTGTACCGCAAGACGGCTGTCTGCTTTGCCGTACCCAGCATAACGGTTAAGCGTTACGTTGATTAAAGGAGCTAGACCCACGAAGGCCAAGGAAATATTGTTACAAACGAGCATGACTTGATTCAGATTCTCAATGAAGTGAAAAAGCGAATGGTGCGTGAACCATAGAAGCGCCACCACCACGAAAGTCGCTCCATACGTCAAAATTTCCGACTTCATGTGTAGCAGTGAGTTCTGGATGCCATGGCGGTCGACTTCCTCTTTCGTCGGAAAGTCTTCGGCAGTGATATCTAGGATCAAAAGAGTTGATACAATCGCGAAAAGTCCATCACTGAAAAACTCCACTCTCTCCTTGTCAATAAAATTCCCAAACATGCGATCGAACTCCGATCCAGTTAGACGCACGCGAGTCCATTTGCGATAGATGACGCCTGCAAGGCGGTTTATGCAGGGAGAGAACACGACAATCGCTACAACAATCAAGGCCAATTCTATCTTGGCCAAGCTAACAGCACCAGCTAAAATATACAGGAAGGGGTTAACAACTTTCTTCACAAGCATCAGCTTAAGTCTCTGTTTGATTTCTTGATGGCAGAGATTCTCAAACTCGGGGTCCAGCAGGCATGGATGATGAAAGGCGTACACGATCATGACCACCTCCAGGATTTCGAGAACGAGCAGATTTCCACATATTAGCATCATGGCGAGGTACTTGTCGGTGAACATTCCCTCAAGAGCGCATGTGAAAGGGAGAAACGAAGTGAACAGCAACGAACCGAGGTTTAACCAGACAAGCACATCATCTAGCCTTGACAAAATACGGAAGCGCAGAACCTGCGATTCCCACACGGCACAAATTACGAGAAATCCCACAAGATAGATCAACAACTGCTGCCATTTGTCGGTAAGTTGATCGGCAAGGCTGGTGCTTTCTGTTGCGTCTTCCTCGAGTTTCCTGATTGGGAGAACTAAAATTGTCGCTACAATGGCGAATACTGCATCATTGAAGCATTGCAAACGCTTGAGATGGAGAAGATCCACTTCCTCTGTCATATTGCATCTATTATTTCTGTTGTCAAATGCGGCAAAGTACAGAAAGTGAAAGTGAAAGTGAAAAAAACCCCTCAATTCTACTTGAATTGTGCGTTGTGAAAATGCGCTCTAAATTCCACTAAGGTCACACTGCGAAACCAAGACCAATCGTGGTTCATCAGGAAGTTTCGCGCAGACTCCCCCACGTCACGCAACATCAACAAGATTTTGCGGTGGGAAAGGCTCGAATTATGTTGCTCTTTGGAGCGTGGCTCCATTTTCTAAAGAATAGTCAACTATTGAGCCAGGGGCAAACGTGAAAAAAAATTCAATGCTAATGGTGAACTAATTAACTGACGCAGATTCCGCTCAGTTGATCCCCGAGTGTATTTTAACGTGATAGTCCACTTTACAGTTGTGCTCGGTTGCCGAGCCTTTTAACGGGAGTGAGGTTAGGGTTGACCTTCTTATGATACAAACCTTACTGCCTTTCAAATGTAAATCACTTTGTTTTCATGCTAACTAGATACAGGTCTCTATCACGACAAGGTCACCTTCAGTCTCACTCCAAATCAAAGGCACGGCACTAAGTACACAGCTGTAAAAAGGCCTTATAGGGACGGACCATTATTTTTCTGGGGGGGGATTAGGAGAAATATTGAAAAAGATTGTTTGCAAGGTCTGAAAAAACAAAATGTATTGTTTGCAAACGTGATAGGGTAAAAAAAATGTTTGCAGAGAAGTCGGGTAAGATATTAAAAAGTATTACTACCAAAACTGAAATAAAAAAATTAAGCCACAAATTGAAGTATTAGCAATTCTGTGGTTTTGCTGCACCCAGTGGCCCCTGGTGCCTTACTTTTGCTTGTGGGCAACTCAGACATTTTAGTTTTTTCATTCAAAGCATATGCTAGGCACCCTTGATTTCACAGTTTCAGAGCACCAGGCTCCATTCAATTTTCCTTAGAGCACACCCTTGATTAGTATAAACTTAACACAATTTGGGCACTAAAAAGTGGTATTAAGCAAATAACAAATCTGAAGATAGCTGAATATTTCTTGAAAAAATAGGACTTTTATGTGTCAGTAGCTGCCGAAAAATTTTAAGAGGTGAGTGTAGCGTATGTTGACAAAATAAGTGGCTATAGCACTATTGATTACGTTCTTCATAAAATAGTTCAATAAGGCTATGGTAATATTTCGCACAAATAAAAGAACACTGAAAAACTAATGGAAAGAAATTGTTTGCACAAATATGATGTTGGAAAAAAATGTTTGTGGAGACATGTATGTTTAAAAAACTTTTTGCAGAAGAAACTTTCTCATACCCCCCCTACAGAAAAATAATGGTCCATCCCTCAAATTCCTCAGGCATTTGGCATCACGCAACTTTTCTCTAACTAACATTGGTAAGGCAGGGGGAGGGGGGAGTGCACAATGCCCAACCCCAAGGGGACATCCTTTAAAACTGTTAAGTATGATGTTAAGAATCAGTGACAAGAATTCCACTCACATTGGTTTCTGAAAACATATTTACTGCCTTTCAAGCATACCTCTGACTCAACTACTTCATGTTCTAAACTTAGTAGCAATATTCAGTTTAAACTGCAGTCTTCAATAAATCAATTATTCTTGCTTTTTCTTCTCTGCCGTATACATTATTTTCCTTTGCAAAATAAATAATGCAAGCTACTAATTTCTCCACACTAATTAAAGTACTAACAATACCTTTGGAAAAAATTTCATATCTCAGTACTTGAAATTAGTAGCCAAAGTAATCTGTCAGATAAAGCACCTGCCTGAGCTACAGTCTACTTAGTTAAAGATTATCAAATTGAATGTAACCCTCAAAAGAGTTAGATTTTAGTTGACTTCCCTTGGAAACCTGGTTGCTCCACAAGTTTACACAAGTTTTCTTGATCTTAAAGATGACATATCTTCACAAAATATTGGAAAAATACTATTTCTATAACTAAAATACTTGGAATTTTAAAATTGCTTTAGAGAGAGAAGAACATTTTTAAAAAACAAACATGCTTTAGCTATGTTAAATATCATTATCCTTACAAAACTTCTTTTTGGCTTAACAACACAATTGACTTTAAAAAATGTAAATTGTAAATGAAAACTCACAAGAGTATTAACTCCTTAAATTAAATAGAAAATAATATAAATAACAGAGTGGAGCAGTCTAAGCGTGAGCATTACTATCATTAACTCCATATCAAGAAGCCCAGGTAATTTGTAAGAGTTCTGTACTGAACTCAAAGTAAAATTCAATTTTCTCAGAGAAAAAAAGTACAGGAGAACTATCAGGAATATCTGACAAGTGATTTCCATGTATTTCTACTTAATTCAGACACCATGTGTTCCATGCATCTGAACCTTTAGGGCCAGTTTAGGTTATTTAAAAGTTGCTCAAAATAGTTGTGCCATTTTTTTAAACACCAATTATTTGATGGATTGTGGCATCAATACTAACTTTTTTATTTCCTTTGGAGTGGAAAAAAATCCTAATTACATGTAGTTAAAACAAGTTTTGATTAGTTTGATTATTTGTAAGGTTCATTATTATATGGCTGTGTCTCACAAGGACTGGGAACTACCAAATTCACAAATTTGATTGGCTGAAATAAATATTGAAAGCGGTCTAGATTTTCCCATCTAGACCGGCATCTAGACCGGTCTAGAAAAAAAAGGTACAAAGAATGTAAAAAATTGGCATATAAGACACAGCCGTATAATAAACATCTTATTAACTATTAACCGAGCTAGGTCGGTCTGTATGGGAGAATCTTGACCTTGGTTGCTGGTACAGACCGAATGCAGTTTGGTCTGTACTGGAGACCTCGGTCAAGATTCTTCCATATAGACCTCCCACTTGGTTAATAAGAACAAAGTAACATTACCATTAGTTAACACAAAATGTGAGTAGGCTTAAGACTCATTTCCACATTGCCAAGTTAAGATAAATGTGAGTAGCTCAAGACTCATTATTTTCAGATTTTCAGATTTCCATATTTTTGCATTTCTAGACTACCAAGTTAACATACATGTGAGTTAGCTAATATTTACACATTTCAGCTGCTTTTCACCTAAAAAATAACTAGTTATTGTGTGCACAATTCTAAATCACACATTTTCATGTTTCAAGGTTACTCTAAGCTGCAGCACATTCTATTGTGATGAAGTGTTCTGGGCTCTTCTACCTCTTTTCAGTAAAAGCCAAAACATCGCAAAACTATTTTGGACCATCCTAAGTCTGAAACTGGATGACATTTACTCAGCATGCTAATGACTGTGATAAGGTGGTGTCTCCTACAAAATTCTTTTGGAGACGCAATCTGCTTCTGTGTGGGGGAGGGACCCAGGTTTCCAAGTCAGGATCCATGGCAACATCGTGTCTCAAAACACCCACTTCCCTACCTCCCCAAAAGAATTTAAGTGCAAAGAACAAAAATGGAGTTACAAATACAGCAACATGGTAAGCAACATAGATTATGAAATCACTTGCTGTAATTGCAATGTAGTATGCTGAAAGACTAATAACAGGTAAAATGGCAAGTTTTAAGGTCAAATGGTAGTGACTTGTTTTGGAGACAGCTGGGTTCACCTTTGGTTCCAGATGGGTTGGACCTTTCCACAGTGCAGCGACAAATACAGCAGCTTGAAACATACTTGTCATAAATATGACCACTGAGCCACACTGCACAGCAAGCCTTGTGTTGTCATCTGGTTTCTTGGGCTCGTCAGCAAACTTGTTCAAAATGGCAACCATACAGGGAAAGAAACCAACGAAAGCCAGGGAAATGTTGTTGCAAACCAACATGAATTGATTCATTTTTTTGATGCAGTGGAAGAGAGAGTGATGGATAAACCACAAGAGAGCAATCACAATGAAATTTTCAGCATACACCAAGAACTTCGGCCACATCTGCAGTACAGTTAAATCGATTCCATTTCGCGTGACATCCGTAGCAGATGGGAAACTCTCTGTTGTAATGTCCAATACCAGCAGCGTTGCGACAATCGAGAATACTCCATCACTGAAACATTCTACCCGCTCTGTGTCGATGTAGTTACCGAACATAAGATCGAAATCTGCTCCAGCCACGCGAACAAACTTGCATTTTCGAAAGATTAAGCCAATTAGACGATGGATGCATGGCGTGATTATAACAATAGAAATCACAACCCATGAAGTAACGGAATTGAAAAGACTCAGAGATCCAGCCAAAATATACAGCATTGGATTAAGAAGTTTCTTCGCCAACATATAATTTCTCCTTTCCTTCTGTTCTTCTTTGGATAGGTCGTTTAGCTCGCCTATCAGTAAGTAATCATGATGAAAGGAATAGTAAATCATGGCCACTTCGAGAAGTTCTACAAGTAACATGTCACCACAAATTAGCACTAAAGGAAGGTATTTTGTCGGATAACTGCCCTCCAGTGCACACCCAAACGGTAAAAACGAGGTAAACATGAGAGAAGTAAGGTTGAGCCACACTAACACATCGTCTACATGGGCAAGAATCTTAAAACGGTGCACATGGGATTCCCAGACAGAGCAAATAACAAGAAACGATATGAAATACACTACAAGCTGTACCCATCGTTTCTCCAGCTGAGTTTCAAGGTCTTCCCTGGATTTTTCTTCAAGTCTACGGATGGGAAGAATCAAAATGGTAGATACTATGGCAAAAACAGCGTCGTTGAAGCACTTTAAGCGGTTGAGATGCACCAAATCGCGCTGGTCCGCCATACTTCCACCTTTCATTCGAATCAGTAAGTGTTAGACATTATTCCTCTCACATGACACCCGGGTGACAGACGTTCCATGCTTGATCTTCGGAAAGGTAAAATAGATCTTCCGAAGATACCCGAATATTTTACGGTTGTCCTCGGAAATCCTCGTGAAGTTGGTTTGCTACCAACATGGCGGGCGATAAGAAAGAATCAAAGGTGTGTGAAAACCACGAGAATTGCACACAGATTGATATCTTTGAAGCCGCACAGTGTGGGTGAGTAATAGATAAGCCGTTGTTCGACTGTATGCCTCTTTTTCAACCTCCAAAACATAACTTAGAGAGGACTTTCCACATATGATATCATGTGCTCCTTTTAATATAAATTTCCCTTTTTAATCGCATCGCCTTTTAAGCCTCTGAGGATGGTATAATTCAGTTCTGATCCTCGATAGCTTATCTTTATTTATGATATCTTTGGTTACAATGTAGTAACTTAACGCGAATGAGACTTAGCAGACACGATATGCGATGTGGTAAATGGAAGAAAAAAAATGGTTTGCTAGACAAGTTTACTTGTTATTAACAGCTGAGGCGTTTAGACATGTTTTTACTCTGAGGTACAGATGGACTTAGTTGGTCGGTTAAAGGCCATTTCACATGAAATGGGAAGTAAATCAACACTGGGAATTATGCAGAAAAGAGAGTAACCAAAACTTGCCAACGATCCAGTGGAATAAGGGAAAGGAGTAAATCACACAAACACCTGTTTTTTTTAAAAAAAGAAAAAAACAGTGATTTTTTTTTAGTTATTTAGTTTGACGGTTTTTTTTTTTCCAAAGTACCTGTAGTGTTAAACACAGAATGATTTGACAGACTGATATGTCATCCTAACAGTATGGATCCTACAGTACATCTTTTTATCAAGTTATACTCTGTTTGTGGTCATTTAATTGACAATGTGGCTTCAATAAGATTGCTGGGGATATTTAAAAAATCTGAGTCAGATGAAAGTTAGTTACTATAAACTGTGTCGAAAAGCTTACATTGGCCCCCACCTATCCCACTATGAAGTGTTCTTTGTTCATTTTTCAGTCTGATGCATCATATCAAAATCATTTTTTGTTCTATGCCTCTCCTTTTGTTGACTCCTTTCTCTTAAGAAGTCTCCAATGTGGGTATACTTCAAACATTATACAGGCAATATTAATTTCACCTCCTCTAACCTGATATAATTCAATTATTTATGATAATTAATTTTGTCTTTTGTATTAAATTGTTACAACCAAGACATTGATGTAACATTTCTGTTTGTTTATAGAGATTCCAGAGTTTGCAGAGAACTTGTTGCACAGCACGGCGTAAAAATTCTTAGCACATACGACAGTCATGGACACACGCCTTTGCATTGGGCAGCCCTGGGTGGTTACAATGAAGTTATAAAATTCTTTATAAATTGTGGAGTTGAAGTAAATCAACAGAGTCGATCAGACTACGGACCATATCCAATTCACTGGGCATGTGTCAATGGTCATATTTTATGTGTGGATCTTCTTCTTCAAAACGGGGCTTCAATAGACTGTACTGACAACAAAGGTTGTACTCCCTTGATTATTACTGCACAATATGGAAAAGCAATGCTGGCTGGATACCTTATAGGCAAAGGAGCAAAGATATTCTTGACAGATCATGAAGGAGACAATGCTTTACACTGGGCTTGTTTTAAAGGTAGCAAGTTCTGTATATATTAATTGCAGTATGGTGAACAATTGGTTTTTCCATCAGTGTGTAATCATCAAGATATAAGGGAGGCTGCAACTTTGGAGCGTAAAAAGATACTTAAGAGTTGCCAGAGATGACTCAGACCAACTGCAGCATCTCAGTACACTTCAAAAGTGGCAAGTGCCTCATATCTTTTTGATTGAAAAGGTGATGCATAAGCCAATTTTTCTGTAATACTTCTAGCAGGCAGTGTTATTTGATATTACACCTCACGCTTCCTTTTTATGTGCAGTTCCTCAGTAGCACAAAGGAAATATAAACCAACTGAATGAAAGTATTTTTCTCTCATGTTTACATGTTGTCATGAAATGCTTACAGTTAAACAAAAAAAGAAAACGAAAATGTGAGCGGTAAACGTTTTTAGTTTGTGGTTATGCTGATATCTAATGTGTCATAGCATGATAAACATTCTTAAAATACTTCAGGTATTCATGGTTTTCACTGTTTGACAGTAAATATGTTTGGGAGCACTTGCAGTGGACAATAATTATACCAAGCATATTTTTGGTTTTCATGTATGTAAAATTTGCAGGTCACAGTGAGGTGGTTCAGTTGCTTTTGTATTCTGGGTTTGATCCCAAACAGAAAGACAGGTTTAGCCAGGTATGTTTGGTAAACTCTAAGTATATACAAAACACAAACTATAAGTTAATTCTTTTAACAAGTACTGTTCCACTAAAAAGTAATCTTGGGTTCTTTCCTGCATGGACTAAAAGAGAAAACAAATGGGTTCTATTTGTTGAACATTGAACTTTAAAAGATCTAAAAGAAAGATACTATAAACATTTTCAATTCTCTCAGACTGAGTGCTTCACGGCATCTCGGCTTCAGTGTTCCAAAAAATTCCCTTGACATAACTAGTATCCAGTAGGTGAAGATAGACACTGTAAAAATGTAACACAACACAATTACCCTGGTTGAAGATTGTATGCTGACATGATAATTTGGAATATGATGGAACAGATTGCTGCTGTGTGAGAATCTTGAGAAAGCAGTGCAGTGAAAATTCACCAGACAATTTCTAAACTCAGCAATTGGACGTCTTCAAATATTTAATTTTTAACCTAAATAGTCGTTTACATCCTTTCCCCTCTCTTTGCCACCATTAATTATTCACAAGTATCTGACTGAGGTTCTCACTGTGGGTCATCTTTTATCATTTCAAGTTGACTCTTTTCCTTGTGTATTATTGTAGAGAGATACATTCTAGGAGAGGGAAAGAGAGAACAATCTTGATCTCTAAATCTTAAAATTTCTCATCAGAGCATTAAACTCATGAAAAATTGATAAGTTTGGGTTTGAAAGTAAACCAATGTATGAGGAAAATGCGTCTTTTCAATCATAAGTCATAAATCAATATTTAAGTATCAAAAGGATAAGATATGAAGAGACAATGTCAAAATTAACTTGTCTGTCATATGATTTAACTTATTTGCAAATAATTATTCTCTCTGACAGTAATTTTGATTGGTATTAGCCATGTAAAAATGTTTACATTTACAAAGTAGGGATTCATGTAAAATAATCATGATACGTTAATAGTTGGAGTGACATAATTGCCTTTGCCTTTTACATGCGTGGCAATTCACACTAGAACATCATATTGTAAAAATTACCTCTCATTCCACATTAATGTTCCTCCCACCTTTTTGTGTTATGTTATTCTGTATCATAAAATACTTGAGAAGCTAGACTGCTGTACATAAGAAATTCAAAAGGAGCATCATCAATTGATGCAACAACACTTCAGAACTGATACTTACAAACAGAATACTTGTCAATGACAGAAAATTAATTTCTTTTTTCGATAAATTCATTTCTTCATAATTGATAGGCTGGTTCAACCACTTTGAATTATGAACTGATATAAATATATATTTGATTTTAATTGCAGACTTGGTTTTCTACAAGCAAACCTTTGATTAATGGGCTTTTGAAATTAGATTTTTCTCTTCATAGATCCTTTTTTTGTTTGTACACGAAAAGAAAACCAGGCGGGAGAAATAAAATATTTTAATTACTTGGTCTGAAATTATTTCCAAATAATTGAATCTTGGAGAGACAAACTTGAAATACTTGCTAGAGGTTTGAAAAAAATAGTTTCAGTACCAGTTTCCATTTGCATTCTAATTTATTAATGAATATTAAAGTTTGAAACCAGCATAATACTAACTTCTCTAGAGCTGACATTTTAAAGTTAATTAATGACTAGGAGATATCTATGGAAATTTAAAATCCAGCTGACTTTTTCAAATCTTTGTTACAATGTTTTAGACCCCTCTTCATCTGGCTTGTCTTAGTGGAGACCTGCTCACAGTTGAGCACATTGTGGACATGGTAGGCATTGAATATTTAGGGAAGCTTCATCCACTACTAAATTTGATGACTGTATGTATAGCCTCTGGGTTTCTGTTGGTCTGTAATGGTAACAGCACCCAGTAGAGTCCAACTCTGTCAGTAATTGTACGAGTGATTACAAAATCAAACAATGGCAAAGCAGGAGTCTGATTTGTTAATTACAAATAAATAAATAAAGGCTGATAGTTTCTAAAGAAACTGTTTGGGGCTGCGTCAGTGGGGGTAACGAAATAATTTGGAAATATCAACAAAGTTGAAATGGTAAATTGGCCACCGTAACGATTACAAAAGCTGACATTTCGAGCATTAGCCCTTCGTCGTAATCATACTTGTTAATTACAAGTATTATTACAGACAGAATTGGATGACATGAAGTTCTGTTACCAAGTAATCATAACCATTACAATTTCTATTGAAAACAAATACATTCATTTGAGAAAATATCTCCAGTAAAGACATTGTTTAAAGTAAGAAACTCCTCCATTTTGGAAATTCCCCAGGTTTGTAGGGTAAGTGGTTGTTGCTATGGTTATTGAAATCAATTCTGGGATTGGTGGATCTGGCTGAGTGGACTAAGTTTGAATGACTTCTTTAACTGTCTGATTACAGCCAACTGTCTGGTTACAAGGTCCAATTACATCTCTATAGGATTATTTACAAATGGTGAAAAATAAAGCAGCTAATGCACCAATCACATTTGGGAAAATTTTAATGGTTGTGATTAGGAAAGAAAGAGAGTTTTGATAAAATAAGGACTAACTAACCACTGTTGTAATGTCGCTGAGCTTTTCAAACAGGTTTGTCAGGATCATCACTACCAAATCTTGACAAACAGAAACTTTGTTAACAAGGCTAGAAAACATTTCATTTTATGTTGGTCTGTTACAGAATAATTATATTTTAGTTCTGTTCTCTTCACTGTATCAGCTTGTCACCTCTTACCTCTTAAGCTATCTGTCCATGCAAATAGAAAAGAAACAGAAGAAAGTGCATTAAATTTTTAAAACACATGAAAGGTCATGTGGTTACTGTAAGTCAGCCAACTGCCTAATATCTAGGTCTAAAGAAATAAATGTAGCTTACTTGTTAGACATACCTTGTCAGATGAATAAAGGGGGTAGGTTTTTAAAATGGCTGTGGTGTTTAGTTGGAGGGGGTATAGCAAGATTACATGGTTTTATCAAACAAGCTGATAAATATAAATAATTTTAAACTGGCCATGATAAAGAGTTTCTAAAGCTGATGTCTTAACCTTTAACCTTTTCGTCATTTGCTCTGGCAAAACATACATAAAATGCTGTTATTTTGTAGGGAGGATCTTCTGAACTATACTGTCTATCACAAACTTTTAATTATATACTGATTTAATTACGTGCAGTTGAAATTCATTAGGAATACAGCCAATTTTTAACTCTTTACAATTTAACATCAGTATGCTGATTCTCCACTTGCTCCTCTGTACATTTCCTAAGGGACTAACAAAGATGATTACTTTGTGTAGCAATCAATCTTGAGCTTCTTAATAAGTAGGTGCTCGTTTTCTGTATTCTTGTCACCTTAAAGAGTGATTCAGGGGTGATATTATTCAGAGAAATTAGAAAAAGGCACAATAGAAGTAATAAATTATTATTAATTATTATTAAATTAGGTGATTATGTTTTAGTGTGGGTATAAATCTTTTCATATTATTCTTACAGCTCAGGTTTTCAATGGCTAAATCCATGAAACACTAACAACACCATTTTCAGAAATATTTTTCACAACTGAGTGCCACTAGTAGTATTTACTTCCCATTTTTGCTCCAGGATGTTGTGTTAGATGCTGTAGATAGTAATAACAAGACACCATTAAGACTGGCCATGGGGCGAGACCACAAAGAAATTGTACACTACCTGCAAAGTAAACTTAATCGTCTGGTGTCCTGTCACATGAGGTATGTCCCTTTATGCAGTTTTATACAGTACATGCACTCTTATGGGTTTTCGTATGTTACAATTAACCATCTAGAACATGTTCCTGCTTTGAGAAAGTATTTAAAATGTTTGAGCCATTTATCGATTTGTGGTTTAAAGTGAATTTCCAGCATCTCACAATGGCACCTAACCACAGCAGCTCTATTTTGTTTGAATGTAAGAGTGATCGTCACAGTAATGAACACGACTTATTATGAACAGTAGTGAAAATAAGGCCTGAAAAAAATTCCTGTATAAGAGTTGAGCCCATGACCTTTGGGAAACTGGTGCAATGCTGTACAAGCTAAGCCAACAACCCAACTAGGAGCTGGTCATTTTATTGTCATTATGTTTGTTGCCAAATAATTTGTTACTTTTAAGTTAATTTGATTTTAACCCTAATTTGATTTTATTTCAGAGACATTGTGTTTGGCCCACCTGGGAGATCAAAAGGACCATTGTTATTTTACCTGGGAAATCTGTTTCTTTGGGGTTATCCTGTTTATTTCTTTTATGTGAGTAGATCGTGAAAGCTGATGAAACAAAGACATTGTTCTATACCCATTTTTCTGTATGGGAGGCATTGT